AGTCAAACTCTTTGGCAGAACTGATTAATATTACAAAGTTGGGAATTACAAGTCCTTCGGTCCAACCTTCATTCATACGTCAGGATTACATACTGCATAGACAGGTTAATACAGTACAAACAGGATGGTGTGCATGTTATCATTTTATGTCTTCCTCCCAAGGCCATGAGAATTAGAAATGGCGAAGTTCCCTCTGGCCTCTGTGGAGGAGGCTTCCTTTCACAGTGGTGCTAGCGCAGCTAATCTACAGTTCACACATACATGTCTTAATCCCGCCCCTTCAGGAATGTCAGGGGAGGACCGCATAGACCGCACCTGCAAGTGCGGAGATGAGAAGCTTGGGAATCAGAAGCAAAACCCGAAAGAGCTCAAGCGGGGTAAACAATAACAGTGCAAAGCTATGTACATCAGAGAACCACAGTTGCAAATACATGATCAGTAGTCAGGCTAAGGTCCAATCCTGACAGAAGCTCTCAAACACAGAATCCAAAGACGGCCAAGGGGCCTCCTGTTCACGTACTGTGTCAATATTGGCCTGGAGGATGTGGCAGAGCGACAAAAGTTTTATCTGCAAAAATGCTTGCAAAAGCTTCACAGCTAATGATTGAATCCCTAACATTTTGGTTTCTCTCAGTAAGAGAAGTTAGAGATCCAATTATCGTAAACAGTTGTGCTGGGCAGATGCAAATGCAGTGGAGGCTGTATAAAATTCCTTTTTAACAGCCTTCACCGCCACCTCATAGGATTTCGGAAACGTCCTATAAGATGTTCTTGCAGCTTTGTCATGAGTAGGCCGCCAAACTTGGTCCAGTTGTCTAAGTTCCTGTTTCATCTCCCTGAGTTCCATAGTATACCAGGGGGATAATTTAGATTGGGAATTTAAAGGATGTTGGGGAGCGATTTCATTGATGACTTCAGAGAAATGAGAGTTCCAGTCCTCTATTAGTGCATCTAATGAATCGCTGGAGGGCATCGGATCCTACAGAGTGTTCTGGAATTCAGTTGGGCTTATTAGTCTTTGTGGGCAAGCATAAATCCGCTCACCACCTAGACAGAGATGCTTCTCTGGCTAGTTCCCTGCTCCAGGTGTATTAGAAGACATGTTTATTGTTTGTCTTGATGCTTTTAGCAACCTGCTCCTCGAATCTCTTTTTGCACGTCTGATTATAGACTTTCATTTCTTTCGCCAGAGCCTGTGGTCCCTTCTGTTCAGTTCATTCAAGCATACCTTCTACTTTTTAAAAGAAACTCCTTTACATTTTATAGCTTCTTTGACTTACATTGTTAACCATGCAGGCATTCTTTTAGACCTGGCAGTGCCTTTTCTAAACTATGGAGTGCATTCTATCTGGGTAATTTTAAATAGCTTCCAAGCATCCTCTATGGAATCTGACCCTCTTGTGTTTTCCTTTCAGCTTCCTTTTAATCATTCCCCTCATTTTTTATAAAGTTCTGTTGGAATATTTGCAAGTTGTCAGCACTTTCAGTCATGTCAACACTTTCAGTCATGATAGAGTTAAACTGATGTTGTGTGTAAACAGAATGTTACCTAGCTAAGCTGTAACCAATTAGAAGTAGAGAAAGTTTCCCCAGGCTAGAGTGGGTGGTATTTAGTATAATTGAGGTGCTCGTTAGTCTTGTCATTGGCTAATCAATATATTGGTTTGAAGATGTGCCTTTAATCATGTACTCATTTGTTTGATGTTTTATGACAGAATTTCCTGTCTTTGTTCTGAGAGTTGTGAGCAAAGTCTGAGTTTCAATTCTTCTTCTCTTTAGCTTTTAACCATGTAACAGTTCAGATGTAGCTATAGAATTAGACTGTGTTTTCTTGTTTTCTCCAAATGTGTACCCTTCCCATTTTCTAGATAAAGACTGCTTTTACTCTAAGCTCTAACACACACAGTGTGGCTCTTGTCATTTCTTTGCTCTGCTAAATTAACACAAGTTCCCTCTTTTGAAATAAAATCTTACAGTTTTGTACTTTGGAGGGTAACTTTCCATTGAGTTGAATGTTGAACTTAGTAGCAGTGTAGTCACTGTCCCCAATCGCTGCAAAAACCTCTACATCTCTCAGAACCAAGTCCAAGATCATTACCCCTCTGGTTAGCTCTGTGACCATCTGTTCTCAGTACACAGTCGTTTATGATGACTAGGAATCTCATTTCTACAGCATGACTCAAGCACATGTTTACCCCAGTCAATGTGAGGGTGGTTGAGGTCTCCCAGTATAATATCATTATCTGTTTTAGTCACCTCCCTTATTTCCTTCTCCATCTCAAGATCAGCCTCAAGGGTTTGATCAGGTGGGCGACAGTACACCCCCACTTTTAAGTAACCCTTGGGACTCAATATTTCCACCCATATTGCTTCTGTTGGGAAGTTAATCCCCCTGATGTTTTCTAACTTGTTTGGTTCTATGCCCTCTTTGATGTACAATGCAGCATCTCCATCAGCCTGTTCCTCTGTAGCCCCTAGCTTTTCTCCATTCCACCATGTTTTCTGAGATACCACCTCCATCTAAACCCCAGCTCCCCTCCCCCATCTTGGCTCGGAGGCTTCTAGCACTGGCCTGCAGGCACCTATAATGTGTTTCTCTCTCCAGCAACCCTCACCTCCCTCAGCCCCTTAGTCACCACACATGGCCCTCAGTTGCCATCCTGCCCACACTCCCAATGGTCCCTCTAAGCTGTGGAGTCCTGTGAACAAAAATTCTACGTTGTGAGCTACTGGCATTAAAGTTGTGAACGAGTGATTTGGCTCAAGCATAAATCAGTTTGCTCTGGAGCCATCCTTCCTGAGCCAAGACAAAAATGTGTGAGCCGGAGGCTAAAAAACTGTGAGCTAGCTCACACTAACTCAGCTTAGAGGGAACACTGCAGTCCCAAGTTCTACTATGCTCCTATCAGTTTTACCCTGAGCGTTTATGCAGTCATGCATTTGGACTGACTTGCCTGTACTGGAGGCTTCCCATCTCCTATGGCAGTGATGGCGAACCTTTTAGAGACTGAGTGCCCAATCTGCGACCCAAAACCCACTTATTTATCCCAAAGTGCCAACACGGCAATTTAATCTGAATACTGAGGTTTTACTTTAGAAAAAACAACTCATACATTAACTTAAGAGGATCCAAACAAAGTAAGGAAAGCAATCCCAAATGCTTTCATTTACTTAAAATTATTTGGCAGAGAATTCGACACTTTAATGATGGTCTGGGCCTGGCTGGGGCGATGGCACGCGTGCCCACAGAGAGGGCACTGAGTGCCACCTCTGGCACCTGTGCCATAGGTTCGCCACCACTGTCCTATGGGCTCCCCCCCCCCCGGGATTAGTTTTAAAGATGCTCTGCCACCTTTTTTATATTAGTTGCCGGCAGCCTGCTTCTCTTTTGGTTCAAGTGAAGCCCATTTCTTTTGAATAGGTTTGGCTTCTCCCAGAAAGTTCCCCAGTGCCTAGCAAATCTAAACCCTCCTCCCAGCAACACTTCCCACAGGGAGGGTGAGGATGGGATGCACAGGCAGAATATAAAAACAGATCTGCAGGTGGGCCTGGATTGGGCAAGGTGTGACCAGCAACTCAGTTTGGTAGGAAGGAAGTTCTGATAAGGGAATTGCACACCCACCCATTAATGACCAGTGCCTGGCTGGTGGCTTGGCTTCTTGCATGGCTCCTGATTCGACCTCTTTCTTTATTCCAGGAGGAAGAAGCTGCTGAAGTATTTAGACTGTACATGTAAATGCGATGACAAATCAGACCTCCTTGTGTGGGTGTTGGGGGCTTTCAAGGTCTAGGAAATTGCCTGGGTCCCCCACTAACATTCAGTGGGCTGGACTGAGACTGGCAGGAGAGATTTCACAGAGAGAGACAACCAAGACAGTGGCTTTACCTTAGAAACTATTTACTGAGCCTTGAAAACCATAGTGCGGAAGCTCTCAAAGATATAACATTCTAGTATGCAGCATACCAAATTAATCAAATTAATCAAATACCTAAGTAGAGTGCACTGTAGTTCTATGGAGGATATATCCTGGTTGTTCTGTCAAGACCCCTATAGAGGGTGGTTGGCCCAGAACAACACTGACCAGAAGAAAATCCAAATGTTAAATACCGTTTGCCATCTATACAAGCCAATGTAACTGTCAATTAGACCTGTGACAAACATCTGACGCATGTGACAAATCCCAACCCCTCATACACAGCTGGCATGAAGTTTGCCTTTTGTTAATGTAATATTTTATGAGGGTATGAAGCCCCAGACTATTCTGGCACCTCTTCAAGTGCTAATCTGTATATTGTCAATGAGGCTCTAGACATGTACTACGTCAAGGATACCTCAGGAGCCGGGAAATCTATGTTTAGACTTAGAGGCTAGGACCATAGGCGTAATCTTCGTGGGGGCGGCGGGGCGTCAGCCCCCGCCGAAATTTTCAGGAAGGTGTTCAGCCTCCCCCGGGAGCCACCCTTGCTCCTAGCAAAGCAATGCCTCTGGCCCAGCCCCAGCCCCCCCCGGGAAATTGGAAAGTCTACACCGTTGGCTAGGACAACTGTCTCTTGGTAGGTAAACTATTCACTGACCCAAATAGCAATGTCAAGGCATTAGGTTTGCAAAGTCTGGTGGGATACTGAACCCCAGAGTAGCTATTAGAATCCAATACGTGTTAAAGCCAGAAAGACCAAGTCTCAATTATTGATCGGTTCTCCCAACAGTGGGTTCTAATAGCATCTCTGTCTTTATTCTGGCAGGGAATGATCAGAGGAATGAAGAAGAAAAGAAACTGCATCATCTATTGCCAGGTGTAGTGAAGAATGCAGACTTGAGAGAAAAAATCAGGAATCAAGGCAAACATAAGAGGCACATGATCGAGAAGAGTGATAAAAACATTCCTTGCCAAGGTGGGGAGGATTTCCGTGAAGTAATTCACATGGTGGAGGAAACATACAAGTGCTTGGAGTGCTGAATGAACTTCTCAGATCAAACCCAATGTAATACCCATTTACGAATGCACGGTGGAAAAAAGACCCATCAATGCCCAGAGTGTAGAAAGAGCTTCCTTGGTATAGCAGAACTAATTAGACATCTAAGAACACATACAAGAGAGAAACCTTATGGCAGTTCACACTGTCGCAAGAACTTTGCAGAGAAATCAGACTTTGATCATTCAGGAGAGAAACCATTTATCTCCTCAGAAAGTGGAATTACATTCTCTGATGGAAGTAAGGGTAATATACTTTTTCCAAAGCACAGCATAATGAAGGCACATAAATGCTTCCGGTGTGGAAAGTACTTCAAATACAGATCACATCTCCTTGTGCACCAAAGAACCCACGGACAGGAGAAATCTTTGGAATACTCAGAGAGTGGAAAGAGGCTGAGCCAGAGCGGTACTATTCAGAGGCACCAAAAAATCCACGAAGAAGAAAAACCTTTTGAATGCTCAGAGTGTGGAAAGAAATACAGTAGAATTGGCCAACTTCAACGACACCAAAGAATCCACACAGGAGAAAAACCTTTTGAATGCTCAGAGTGTGGAAAGAAATACAGTAGAATTGGCCAACTTCAACGACACCAAAGAATCCACACAGGAGAAAAACCTTTTGAATGCTCAGAGTGTGGAAAGAAATTCATTCAGAGTGGCCAGCTTCAACGACATCAAAGAGCCCACACAGGTGAGAAACCTTTTGCATGCTCAGAGTGTAGAAAGAGGTTCAGTCAGAGTGGCCATCTTCAACAGCATCTACGAACCCACACAGGGGAGAAACCTTTTAATTGTTCACAGTGTGGAAAGAGCTTCACCTGGAAAGAACAACTTCAACAGCATCAGACAATCCACACAGGAGAGAAACCTTTTGAATGTCCAATGTGTGGAAAGAAATTCAGTCAGAGTTGTCAGCTTCAGCATCATCTAAGAACCCACACAGGGGAGAAACCTTTTGAATGCACAAAGTGTGGGAAGAAATTCAGTCGGAGTGACAGTCTTCAGCAGCATCTAAGCAATCACACAGGAGAGAAACCTTTTGAATGCACAAAGTGTGGGAAGAAATTCGCTCGGAGTGGCAATCTTCACCAGCATCTAAGAACCCACACAGGGGAGAAACCTTTTGAATGCTCAGAATGTGGGAAGAGATTCAGTCAGAGTGGCCATCTTCAACAGCATCAAAGAGCCCACACAGGTGAGAAACCATTTGAATGTTCAGAGTGTGGAAAGAGGTTTAGTCAGAGTAGCTATCTTCAGAAGCATTTAAGAACCCACACAGGGGAGAAACCTTTTGAATGCTCACAGTGTGGAAAGACCTTCACCTGGAGAGAACAATTTCAACATCATCAGACAATCCACACAGGGGAGAAACCTTTTGAATGCACAGTGTGTGGAAAGAGATTCAATCAGAGTGGCTATCTTCAGCAGCATCTAAGAACCCACACAGGGGAGAAACCTTTTGAATGCTCACAGTGTGGAAAGAAATTCAATCGGAGGGACAGTCTTCAGCAGCATCTAAGAACCCACACAGGGGAGAAACCTTTCAAATGCTCACAGTGTGGAAAGAGCTTCACCTGGAGAGAACAACTTCAACATCATCAGACAACCCACACAGGAGAGAAACCTTTTGAATGCACAAAGTGTGGAAAGAGATTCACTCGGAGTGGCAATCTTCACCAGCACCTAAGAACCCACACAGAGGAAAAACCTTTTGAATGCTTAGAGTGTGGGAAAAGATTCAGTCAGAGTGACGGTCTTCAGAAGCATCTCCGAATTCACACAGGGGAGAAACCTTTTCAGTGTTCACAGTGTGGAAAGAGCTTCACCTGGAGAGAACAACTTCAACATCATCAGATAGCCCACACAGGAGAGAAACCTTTTGAATGCATAAAGTGTGGAAAGAAATTCAGTCTGAGTGGCAATCTTAAACAGCATCAGACAACCCACACAGCAGAGAAACCTTTTGAATGCACAATGTGTGGGAAGAAATTCAGTCGGAGTGACAGTCTTCAGCAGCATCTAAGCAACCACACAGGAGAGAAACCTTTTGAATGCACAGTGTGTGGAAAGAAATTCAGTCGGAGTAGCAATCTTTACCAGCATCTAAGAACCCACACAGGGGAGAAACCTTTTGAATGCTCAGAGTGTGGAAAGAGATTCGGTCAGAGTGGCCATCTTCACCAGCATCTAAGAACTCACACAAGGAGAAACCATGTAACTTTTTAGCCTGTGAAAAGGGTTTTTCTCCTGTTTCACACCTAAAAGACAACCACAGACTATACAAAGCATTGAAACGATGTAAAGTGTTGTAAACACAGAAACCTTACCCTAACCGGGAAGATATAATATAAATGCTCAGAGTATGGAAAGACCTTTAGCCGTTTTTGAAATCTCAAATAGATCCCACAGGGAAGAAAGCAAGGATGGGAATCAGCTCTGTGGGTTGAAGGATTGGCTGATATCTTCTTAGCATTGATGAGTCCACCCAGGGAAGGAACCTCATCAATGCTCAGTGTGTCGCAAGAGCCTGAGGCACAGATCTGACATTCATGTTCCTCAGAAAATCCATACAAGGGTGAAACTTTCCTATAGCTGCTTCTGATGAATGTCTTTTTCAAATGTTCAGATGTTCAAGGCTCAGAAAGGCTCAGAAAGTAGTTACTCAAAGAAGAGCCTTTTTAGTGATTGCCCTTCTGTGAAACTCGCTACTTCAGATTATCTGCCAAGCTAACTCTTTCTAACATCTGCAATTTAAAGTATTGGCTATTGCGTACAAAGATCTTCATGGCCTTGGACCTTCACATTTGTGAGAACGCCACTATGCACCGTCACAACAGCTTCACTCATTCTGGGAGCGAATATAAAAGCGAAAATGAAATTATACCATTCTCGAAAATGGGGACCTCCGGGGCATGAAAGGAAGAGGATTTATAGTACATGAACTGAGCGTATTAACAAAAACCCGAAGGAGGATCTAACAAGCCGGAAGGAGAAGACAACAGAGACAACAAAGGAAGCTCCTCCACGTCAGCGACAGTAAAAGTACCCAGCACGCAAAGAAGCGGTTCTGGATGTGCACAGAAGAGACCCTTTTTATTAACAGAATCTCAAAGGAACATTACTAATTTACTAACAGAGAATACATGTAACAGGACTAAGAAAAGAAGTTTGGCAACACACAGAAGAAGCCCAAGAAGATTAATTGGATATTACTAACAGTTTAATTTACCAGTTTATATATCACTCAGCTTTCTCTTCCTCCCACTGTCTACCCCTCCCTTTTTTTCTTTTAAGCGAAATACCTCCCCTTTTTAGGGGAGCCAATAAAACCTTTATTAAAAAAACAACAACAGCTTCACTCATCTGCGCGAAGTCTTCTGCATGAACCAACCTGCAAATGGGCAAGATCAACAGCTGCCCATACACATGCCTTCTCTGTTGTGGCCCCAACCTTATGGAATGGCCTGCCTGGGGATGTCATGGAGGTTCTCGCTCTCCTGGCTTTCCGCGAACTATGCAAAACAGTGATTCAGGAGAACTTTTCTACACATGTGACAGAATTGCAGTGTACTTAAATGACTCACAAAGTTACTTGGATAAATGCTTAGGGAGTGTGGTCTATGCTAATTTGTTTCGCTTACTGAAACTAGGATCCTACTATGTAATTTTTGAATAATTTAGTGTGTCATGTTAAGACTTATGCTTTTGCTTTAGTCCTGTTTTTAGATTTCTTTTTAAAATACTATTTTATTAGCAGTTTTTATACAGATAAGAAAAGGGAAGAAAAAAGAAACAAAAGTAAAATAGATTAGCCTCTACAAAAAAGTGCAGTGAAAAAGAAGGAATGATATCTGATTCTCTCCGCTACCAGAATCCATACATTTACTCATTACAACCTTAGTCCAATGCAAGAAGTCCACAGAGGTATAAAATTACCATGTAGGTATAAAATTAAGTAAAGTCTTATGTTTATAAACCTCTAAAATGGTTTAAGTTATTTAAATTGTTTTTATTATTTTATAATGGCCCTGTAAGCTGCACTGAGCCTGCCTTGGCAGTGAGGACAGGGTATAAATAAATAAATAAATAAATACCGTATTTTTTGGACCATAAGACTCACTTTTTCTTCCAAAAAAAGTGGGAGGAAAAGTGAGTGTGTCTTATGGACCGAAGGTTCAGAATATTTTCCCCCCTGTTTTCCTCCTTTAAAAACTAGGTGCGTCTTAAGGTCAGGTGCGTCTTATGGTCCGAAAAATACGGTATTTCATCAAAAATGTAAGTTTGGCCATCTCTGCAAGTTCCATCATCTTGACCATCCATTCCTCTACTCCCTGTATGGCCAGGGGCCAGCATACCTTTGGGACCGCCTCTCCCCATATGAGCCACATAGGGTACTGAGGTCCACAAATCAACATAATTTGGTAGTCCCCGGCCCCAGGGACATTGAACTAGCCTCAACCAGGGCCAGGACCTTTTCGGCCCTGACCCCCACCTGGTGGAATAAGCTCCTGTATGAGATCAGGGCCCTTTGGGATCTGTTACAGTTCTGCAGGGCCTGCAAGATGGAGCTCTTCCACTGGGCTTTTGATTGAGGTGGTGGACGTCCCCCCCTCCCCTGTCTAATCTCCCATCAGTGGCCTGGATCCAAATAGACACCTGGGTACTCACTGTTGGATCTTAATTGATCTGATCGACTTCGTAACTGAATCTGATTCAATTCTATTTTATTCTATACTGTTTTAAATTGTTATTTTAGGGTTCTTTTTAATTGAATTGTACTGAGATTGATGTAACCCACCTTGAGCCTGCTTTTGGGGACGGTGGGATATAAATTAAAATAAATAAATAAAATAAATATATAGATATACTTGCAGTTTTCCAGTTTTGAGCATATAACAGTCTTGCTGCTGTTCTCATATGCAAAAACAAAGTTCCATTCATCTTCTTGAGTTGTTTATCCATTAGTCCCAACAGAAACAACTCTGGTTTCATTTGTATAATTGCATAATTGAATGTATTTGTATCCAATATTTTTTAGCATTATTACAAGTCCATCATGTATGATAAAATGTCCCTTCATGAAGTTGGCATTTCTAGCATTTATTCATAACATTTTTTATACATTTTGGCTAGTTTATCTGGAGTCATATACCATTGGTATTTCATTTTATAGAAGTTTTCTTTTAAATTAGAACTTAAGGTAAATTTTAGACCTTCCTACTATAAATGTTCCCATTGTTCCATTTGTATAGAATAGCCAAAAAATTTCAACCACTTTATCATAAATTCTTTTACCTGTTCTTCTTCTGTTTCAAATTTCAACAAAAGTTTATAATTTTAGCAATAACATGGTCATTTGTACACAATTCTGCTTCAGATAGTTGTAGATTGATCAAAGCCACCCATCCTTTTATCAAGTTTAAATCTTTCCAATAATTGTGTATAGAAAAACCATTGACAACTGTATCCTTGTGTTAACAAAGACTCTCATTTTCATTTTCTCTCATTTTCAAAATATAAATATCCTGATATGTTAAAGATAGGGAAGGGAGGAGGGAGGGAAGGGGAGGAAAAATTGTAAGACGCTAAATAACATGGAATGTAAAAGCAATGGATAAAACAAATAAAAAAATTAATTTTTTTTTAAAAAGATTTTTGGCCAACTTTGCTATTAGAATATGAAATTTATTTTATTTTCCTTGCAGTTCAAGTCAGCTTAGAGTAATACCTAAACACATTATCAGCTAAAACCAAAAGTAACATGGCAAACCCCCACATCTGTCCCCCCTTGCCCCCTTAAAAGATGCCTGCCATACAAAAGCCCTGGCAGACCAGCAGGCCTTGCAGTGTCTCCAGGAGATCTCCAAGGAGGGGCCCCACTCACCTCTTCAGGGAGCCCTGGTCAATGGTGCATCTTAGATGGGTTGTGTGCTAAAATATCAGCTTTTGGGTTATTGTGAGAGTGGTTCTGAGTTACTTTTAGTAGGTGAGGTGTAGAAACTCCAAATGTAGAAGCTCCAACTGATCCAAAATGCAGCTGCATGGGTCCTTACGGGGACCCCCTGGACAGCACACATCCAACCAGTGCTGCGTGAGCTGCGCTGACTTCCAATGGAGCACTGAATCGGGCTCAAGGTTCTGGTTTTGACCTTCAAGGCCGTTAGCGGTCAGGGACCCACATACCTTTGAGACCACCTTTCCCAGTATGCCCCTGGAAGAGCATTATGCTCAGGGAATAAGGACCTCCTGGTGGTCTCCGGCCTGAGAGAAGTCTGGCTGTCCTTGACCAGGGCCAGGGCTTTTTTGGCCCAGGGCCCTGCCTGGTGGAACTCTCTGCTGGAAAATATCTGTGCCCTGCGGCAGGGCCGGCTCACCCGCTAGGCGAACTAGGCATTCGCCTAGAGTGCCAGGCCCTGGCGGAACCCGCCCCCCCCCCCCCCCCCGCCGCCAAAAGAAAAAGACAAAAAGAAACGGTTGCCGCTGTATTCTGTCGGGGCTCCCAGGGAGAAAATGGACTCAGAAGAAAGCTCCCGTGAGCCGTAGCACCAGGAAGGTGCGCACGCGGGGGGGGTGCGCCTGCGGGGCTACCGGTGTGTGTGCCTGGCTTGCGGGGTCCCCGGCGGGCACTGCGCTCCGTCGTCCACCAGTGGGCGCGCCTCCCCATTGCCACTGCTCTGGAGGGACGCTGCTGCTGTCTTCCACGGGACATTCCACGCTGAGTGCCACCTGGTTGGGACTGAGGCTTGCGGGCAGACAGCGCGGCAGCGAAGAAGCGGCCCTCTCGGCCCTCCCCCTCCAACCCCTGCCACTGTCTCCAGTGGGCGGTGGTGAGCATCTTGCCCAGTTTCCCAGCTTCAGCAGCAGCGCTCCCACGGGAGGACGCCTTCTGCCTGCCTGCCTCCCTCCCTCCCTCCAAGGTGCTGGCTGGTGGTGGGCCAAGTAGTTGAAGGGCTCCTCTTTCCCCAGGCCCCAGTTTAATAGCGGTTCTCCCCCCCCACGCCCCCCCAAGCATTTCAAGTCTGCCCCATACTTGTTAGGACTGGCCACCAATGCTCCCTCTAAGCTGTGGAGTCTTGTGAGCAAAAATACTACTTTGTGAGCTATGGGCATTAAAGTTGTGAGCAAGCCATTTGGCTACTGCATAAATT